AATAAAGGGCATTTTGGTATTTTATTAAAGTTAATTAAATATCATAAAAGAGGGAAAAGATGAGACTACGGTTGACAGATTAAGTTTCTGAAAAGAGAGAAAGAAAGGTTACGTTCTCTAAAAAGAAAGAAACTGTGACATCCCTCAGAATTTTCTATATCATCAAGAAAGCATTAAAGAGGAGTAAGAGAAGGGAGAACATTGACAGAAAGAAACTATACAATGGATCCAGGTAAGTTCTTTTCTACTGTGTATAAGAGAATAGTAAGTATCATGAAAATTCAAGATCCTGTGTGTGTGTTTTTCATTTAATTGAAAATAAAAGAATTGCTTACAGGTGATCTTAGGCTCTAGCTGCCAAGAATGGACATAGAGTTACACTTAAGTGAACTCTCAAGACTTGATCATCTAAAACTTCATGTTTTGGATGTAGATCTAATGCAAAAGAGTGAAAATATGTGAAGTTGAGCTTCAAAACGATTTAACCATTTAAAAGTCACTCATTTAGTAACGAAAACTGATTTCTAATTTATTTTACAATATTTTCACCCATACAAACGGGTTTTCTACACATCAATTGTTTTACAAAATATCAAAATAATTAAAACATTATGTTTTCTTCCAAACTCATGTGAATAGGACACTTATTTACTACAATAACCCACTATACTTATTGGTATATTTCAGGTTGCAAACTACAAACAAACAATATTTTAGGGCACCTGTCGTGGTAGAGTCGCTTTTTGATTAGGAATCGGTAAACTACACCCAGCTCTAATTATAAATTACTACAAAATTGTTAAATTTTGAAATAAAATTTCTAAAATTAAAATTTAATAAAATTTTAATTAATTGATGATATAAAAATCCACTCTATCAAAATGAAAATCTTTAAAAAATTTATTTGTTCTGAAGGAGTTTTTAATCTCGTGATTTATGATAAAAAAAAATTGAAGATTAAAATACTAAAGAAAAATTTAAACTCTCCCTTCAAACATCATTCTATTACAAATGAATCTATTTCTTATACTGAAGGAAAGGATTGAAAAATAATTTCGATATTACGAAAAATTGTGTACTTTTATTTTAATAACATATTAAAAAATAGTAACGATATATTTAAATAAATTGTTGTATAAAGATTTTAAGAAAATAAAAAGTAAAAAACTAAATTTACTTTTTTATAAATTACAATAAGTAAAACATAAAAATTCTTTATATTTTTTGCTTATAACACATATAGCACGTATTAAAATTAGGTTTGATTTGCTTGAATACATTTTGAATAATACAAATTCCTGTTTCCTAGTCCATATTTTATATAAACGTGATAGCCATTTCTCACCTAACAAAAGAACGCAATTGATAGCCATTATAACGTGAATTTGAAGCATGGAAATGTGGAATATCCACTTTTATATGTGAGGTGAAGACTTTGTTTCTATTATAATTATTGAATAAAAATTAGCCACAAAAGTTATATTTTGCACAAAACGAGTCTGAAAATAGAGCATGAGAATTCCATTTTCACTTGTAATAATTAAAAAAAATTATATAATAATTGATTGGTTGAAGTAGTATAATTATGTATGGAAGGTATTCAGTTGAAGCGGTTAAATGGTAATTACGATGAAAAGTAAGGCCACGCGGATTGGAAGAGGGTGTGAGTTGACATTGAAAACATGGTTGAGTAAGGGAGCAACCAAACCAAAGGAAACGCAAAAGAGAGGAAGTAGAAGAAGATAATATAATTAGGCGAGTGTTGAAGAAAGGGTTAAGTTTGAAGCGATGAGTTCGGGAAGCCATAGTGATAAGGAGAAGGACAAGCAGAGGGTGAGCCGCACGTCGTTGATACTGTGGCATGCTCACCAAAACGACGCCGCAGCGGTGCGGAAGCTCCTGCAGGAGGATCCTTCGCTGGTGACGGCAAGGGATTACGACAACCGCACCCCGCTCCACGTCGCATCCCTCCACGGCTGGATCGACGTCGCTAAGTGTTTGATCGAGTTCGGCGCCGATGTCAACGCGCAAGATCGTTGGAAAAACACCGTAATACTATTATATAATAATCACGATTATTACTCTCAGCATTGTTATTTTACTGTATGCATGATTGTGAAATGGTGAATGAACTTTAGGTTTTGGTTGTTGTTGTGAACAGCCTCTGGCGGATGCGGAAGGAGCTAAGAAGACTGATGTGATCGAGCTTTTGCAATCTCATGGAGGCTCTTCTTATGTGAGGTTTTTTTAAGTATTGTGTGTAATTCTGTGTTTGTGTTGTGAATGATGAGGGAAGTTGAGGTTTGATTTTGAACGGTGATGGTCGTTGCAGGGGCAAACTGGTAGCCATTTTGAACCGAAGCCTGTTCCGCCGCCGTTGCCGAATAAGTGTGACTGGGAAATCGAACCTACCGAGCTTGACTTCTCCACCTCCACGAGAATTGGAAAGGTAGGTTTCGCTTCTGCTCGTTTTCTTGGTTTGACTTTGGTCAACGAATTTCAAAGCCTGCTCTTTACTTTGGTCAAACTCGTTGTTTCACTACATTTCTGCGACTGTTATATAACACTGACATAGATTTGTGCTATGCTTTAGTCCCTAGAGTGGCAAGTTTGAAGTATTTGCTGCGTAATCTCATTGAAGGACGGTTGTCGCGTTTCAAGTCTTTTTATCGATGATTCTGGGAAGAAAGGAAAAAATTTCTGTTCAGTTTCATTCCGCAGACGATTTTTTGTGTGTGTTAAAAGCTGTTTTCTAAAACAATTTTACATTAAAGATCAATCGGTTTTTAATCTGAAATGAATGAAGTACTTTTTCTTTTTTTTCTTTTTCAAATCAGGTGTTTAAAAATCCCAATAACAGAAACAACTGAAAAGTGTTTTTTCCATTGTCTTTCTTTTGTTTTCTTTTTAAGGGCTCTGTTTATGTGTTCAGTCTGAGGATAAAGTCCCTAATAATCTTACCTGGATTGAACAAGATTTTATTTGGTGAAGGATATATATGATCTATGTCAAAACTAGCAAAGACCTCTTTTTCCAATGGTTTAATATGTTTTCGTGTATGTTTTTATGTTTCATGAAGGGGTCTTTTGGTGAGATTTTAAAAGCCCAGTGGCGTGGAACACCAGTTGCTGTTAAACGTATTCTTCCATCTCTTTCAGAAGATAGATTGGTGATGTGAGATTCTTTCTTTAGCCTCTAGCATTTGTTTCAATTTGGTTGCTTGCTAGTTGGTCGTTGTTTGCGAGGCGAATGCCTTTAGATTGCTTGTGACTGGTGTCGTTGCTAAAACGAAGGTCTAGTAGCTTACTTTTACCTGTTATCTGTCAGAACTAGGAAAGATTTCGACAATTTATTTAAGTGTTTTACTGAATGTACTCATGATTTATTCTAAACCTATTGGATATTGGATGCATAGTCATCTATGTTTATGATAAATGATAAAAAATTAAAGGAATTGGGGAGGGGGGAGGGGTGTTGCAGCATATAAATCGTATGTCACAGGCTTTTTGGATATCTCATTTTGTGTGTTAATTTTTAATACAGTCAGGACTTCAGGCATGAGGTCAATTTGTTAGTGAAACTTCGACACCCCAATATAGTTCAGTTTCTTGGAGCTGTCACTGACAGGAAGCCCCTTATGTTAATTACTGAGTATCTGAAAGGGGTATGTGAATAAAATATAACTCCTTCAGATTGATTGAACTTAGTTTTTGATTTAGCGAACTTCTTTAAATTGAACTTCTGTTTCGTTCATAAATAGGGTGATCTTCATCAGTACCTCAAGGATAAAGGTGCACTTAGTCCAGCAACAGCTATCAACTTTTCCATGGATATTGTGAGGTATGGTATCTTTCATATTTTCTTTTACTATTTTTGTTTTATAAGAAAAATATTAAGAATAAAAATTAAATACATTAGAGAAGGAGGATTGAAGGAAATTACCATTGAAAAATTAAACCACGTCAAAAGAAATTACCAAAATGATCTCCAGTTATTCTTACATCTGTTATATAACACCCGTCGATCTTCTGACCGGCGTCATTGTGCTCCAGCCACAGCAGCTCCTCGTCTCTCTTCAACCCTTTCTTGGCCCGAAACCTCAACTCACTCTTATTATCATTCAAAGTCCTCTCAGTAATCCGGATATTAGCTAACTTGTTACCACCCATCATTATCTATCCTAATTTCATTTTGAGCTTGCGATTTGCTTACTTTGCCTTTTCAGTCATTCCTTTATTTCTTCTAACACGGTATTCATGTGCTCTAATCGTAGATGCATAGCTTTCAAGATCAAATAATCATCTTCTTATTCCTCTTTGTATCTTGAATTAAAAGTTATGATAAAATCTGTTAGTGAACAAAATAGAAAGTCTCACAATAATATTCTCCCATGTATGCGCTCAAATAAGGATCATACACACTCGTATTTGTTAGCTCGATTTGACTTCTAGCCTCTAATAATAGCATACTCCTTTGACTTCCACCGGTCAATTCTTTCAGTGGAGAGCTTAAATATCACTAAATAAGATCGAGAGTAATATCCCAGTTGCTAGCTGGCAGATACAAAGGGGCTTAGGACCATTCCAAACACTTTTGTGGGCAAAGATAAAAACAGAAGAATTTTTTAAAGTACAAAGTCCTTTTTTAGCTTTTGGTTCTTTTTCTTTTCTTTCTTTTTTAGCATATGCTCTTCTTTTTTCTATTCTGTTTCCTTTTTTAGAATGCTTATGTAAAAGTGAAAACAATTCAGGGTTATAGAAAGATTAAGGGAAAATACTTGGTTGATTGAATGTGTGGGCAAATCTAGAATATCTAAGATGGATAATTGACAAGAGATGAATGCGACAACTTTATGGTTACAAATTAACAAATAATAAGAAAAAAGTATGGATGAAAAAGAAGGGTTGATGATGATTCCAGTAATGGTGACCAAGAGAATTCATAAAAACTGATAATTTACCAATAAGGATATGAAAGAAATAGAAATAACTCAGACAAACTGTCAACAAACAAAAAAGGATGTAGAAATGAGAAAAATAATTGAGGAATATAAGGAATAAAGTTCAAAATGCACAAGTGGTTTTTTTAGTACTCGTTTTTAAATATGAAACTACCAAAAGAATAATATTTAGCCCACAATCAAGAACCTCTGATATCAAACTAACGCAGAAAACAAGATGGATAAGAGGTATGTGGACAACACAAAAGCAAGTCTTCAATTGAAATTCCTAAATCCCACAATAATGTTCACCAGCTAACCAGAAATGGTAAACTTTGACCCATGAGAATTTTTGCAGTCTGTGAGGAACTTACCACATGAATCATCTCGATTCTTGGTGCTAGTAGTATTTTACAACCCCTAAGGAGAAAAGAAACTCTAATGGATATTTGGAACTTCTTATTCAAATTAATGTTCAACTCCTAAAATAAATCTTGTTCTTACTGTACATGGGCAAAACATAACTGATAAAAATTTGATCATAATTAAAACAAAAGACACAGAAACTAACCTAAAATCCATAACCAACTGGCGAAAGAAAATCATAAACTTTTACTAGCTCGAATTAGACCTTATCGATTATTCAAGACTCATTAATTTCAACTAATTATTTAAGTTATGGTTCACTTTCTAACATAGCCTAAACTACTACATTTAGTCTTCCAAAGCTTCATCAAGTAGACCATACTGTCCAAACGGTATCTGTGACTACGAATTTTAGCTACTAGGTTTGCCATGGTCTTTTAGATCTAATAGGCGTACAAGCTCTTTTCACTGGACCTGGACCTGGACCAACAAGAATTACCAATGCATCACTTGTATTTGGCTTTAACTAGCCTCCTTCATCTCCATCAAATAATATGGCCAGTGTATAACTAAGCCAATTTAATATCAACCTGTATTTTATCAACCAAGATAATTGAATTAGTAAATCCAGAGGAATCTGTATACATTCATTTTCACTTAATTTGATCGATATGCTAAAGTATATTTTGTGGATATTGTTTTGCAGAGGAATGGCCTATCTTCATAACGAACCAAATGTTATAATTCATCGGGACCTAAAGCCAAGGTATGTTGGTTATATGCAACTTATATGTGAAAATATTATGGACAACATGCTATGACAGCATGTCAAGATGCATTGTGATAAAGACTTGGTTATTATAAGGTGCCTAAATCCTGCATCAAGTAATATAGGATACTTATTGGAGTATTTAAATGTTTGGATCTTCCTTCCTTAGTATATAACTTTTGGGAGTAAATTTCCAAGTTCTTGAGTGTTTATGTATTGGTATCAGAGTTGGTTGTAGATACCAAGACGGGAGCAAAGTGTTGTAGAGTGAAAGCTGCCTAGCTTTTGAGGGTGTTGTAGGGTGAAACCCGCTAAGATGTTGACTCTTTGGGATGGTGCTAAGATAAGGACTTAGATATTATCAAAAGCCTAATCCCACATTGAGTAGAATGAGATGCTCAATAGATATCTAAGTGTTTAGTTTTCTCTCCTTAATGTCGAATTTTTTATGGTGAGTTTCCCAATGTTTGGGTCCTTATCATATATGGCTTATAAACAAATTGAAGAAACTAGGTTGACTAAATTTTGTCTAAAAATCATCCAGCTGGAATTAAAAAGCCACTGTATTATATGTTAAAGTTTATTTTCTAAAATTTCAGGAATGTTCTTTTAGTCAATACTAGTGCCGACCATTTAAAAGTTGGAGATTTTGGATTGAGTAAGCTTATCACTGTCCAGAGTTCTCATGATGTATACAAGATGACCGGTGAAACTGGGAGCTGTGAGTATTCTCTGAAATTCTTTTAAAATATTAGTATCCATTCTTATGCAAAACTTAATTTTATTTCCTTGGGGATGAAAAAAGACCGCTATATGGCTCCTGAAGTGTTCAAACATCGGAGATATGATAAGAAGGTTGATGTGTACTCCTTTGCAATGATTTTGTATGAGGTAATTCCGCTTGCTTAAATGCAGAAATTTTATCTGATACAATTTGAGCTAATTATAATGCATGATACCTTTATTTCATGCAGATGCTTGAAGGTGAACCACCTTTTGCAAATCTCGAGCCTTATGATGGAGCAAAACGTGCTGCTGAGGGTCAAAGGCCTTCATTTCGGTCAAAGGGTTATATCAATGAATTGCAAGAGTAAGTCGTTTATGATACATTATTCAATTTTCTAGCTCTCTATTTTTAAAGGTAGCTCTTGGCATGATGTCATTCTCTTCTTGACCAAATGGTCAAGAGCTTGTGTTGCTATCATTCTTCTAAAGTTTGAGATGTATAAAATGGCTTTCTCATAACAAGCCATATTTCAGATGTATAAATCATTTCTAGGCGTGCATCTTATAGCTGCAGCTTTCGAGAAAGTAGGTCCTTTACATTACTTTAAAAAAACTCAAATGTGTTTCGTGATGTCCTGGCGTATATCTTAAAATCGGTACTGTCAGAAGTCCACCTACTTTAGACGGGTCTTATAAACGGACTTACAAGATGCTTCGATTAGAGGAATATACTTCAGCTCAGAGCAATGCATTCAATTGATCATATTCTTGACATGTTCAGTCTGACCTCCCATTTGTTCAACATCTGACTTAGGACTGATTTCTTCTCTTTGGTTTATTTACTATTTGTTTTGATTTGAAATTTTCGACTGTACATACTCAACTAGTGATTTGAGCAAATGTTCTATGATATCTAAAGCCATGCGATACGCCATTGCTAGGATTGCTATTTATATTGCCCAATTGTCACGAAAGACATCTTAGTTTCATTGTCCCATTTTTTACCTTCACACTTAAAGGGATGGTCAATAATGATTATGATTTTGCCACCCTTTACCATAAATGGAAGAATCTTGACAACTCTTACTATTGCTGTTCAGTACATCTAACTTCACAAACCACCAGTTGACTGGCATTAATATGATTTAACTCTTTCTGACCATTTCACTAGATGTTCTGGTATGATTTGTAAATTAGGCTATTAGTAGTTATAGCAAGCAAATATTTATTTCGTTTAGAGCAGCCCTGGATCATAGAAGTAATCTAATGAACTTTGGCCTTTCGTGTTCGTAGATTAACGGAACAGTGTTGGGCTCATGACGTGAATCAGAGACCACCCTTCATAGAGATCCTTAAACGTCTTGAAAAGATCAAGGAGAATTTACATTCAGATCATCACTGGCATTTGTTTGCATCATAAATGTCTAATAGCATTAATTTGTTCAGAAATTCAGATTATTTATTTATCACTACCATCTGGTTTGCTGCGGCATTTATGGAGTGATTGGGCCAACTGGAAATCCTGCAAAGTCAATACTTGTTTTCAACTGTTTGGATTAATGAGCAGAACAGGTGATTTTAATTGCCTGCCTTTGGTTTCTAGTATTTTTATCTCATTTAAGCTCTCGTCTCTTTCAAGTGAGAGCGCATGCAATTTGTTGCCTATGTGTAAAGCGTTTCAAGTGTACAAACAAATTGAGCAAGTAGGTCACTTCATGCAATCCGTTGTTTTATGTTTCATCTTTCGTTTAAAAAGATAGTGATAGTTTCCTTTGGTATTAAATGCTACCAACTTTTTTGGGATTGCAATTCTGGTAGCAGTTTCTTATTGGTGGTTTTCACGTGAATTCAAGTAGGGGGAAAACTGTTATTTTGAGTTGTAGATGTGAAGACCGTCAGGAGTAAATAGCTGCAACCTCCAATCGTACTTCCTGCCTAAAACCTTTTCTTCTTTTTCTTTTTGCACAAAGGTATTTTATTTACAGTAAAAAGTTAATTCCTTCCATAGTTTAAATATTACCTACCGATTGACCTTTAATCTTTCATATTAAAGTCTTATCTACATACAATTTAAAATTAAACTGTAAGCAATATGTTTTTTTTTCCTGCAATGATACATAATATATTATATATAGGGTACAAGGTAGACCTCCCTTTTACGTTTAACTTAAACTGAACAATCAAAGAATTTTGTTTCCTACATAGTTCCTTAGTTCACAGACGCGGTCAAAACCCCAAACATAGAGAACCTAGTGACCTAACACCATAAACTTCTACAAAATACAAGATCCTATTTTCAAACTTTCACATAGCCAACTCATTAGTAAAACAAGTTTCTTATACATGTTTCAGGGTTGGCACACCATTGGATAAACGTTGGACATCTCTCCTTATCAGTCAGTTTATACCACTTTCAATATACATCTTGATGCGTTGCATCACATCCTGTCCGCAAAACAGTTTCCGTTCCATCAAACACCTATTTCCCTCTTTCCATATACACCAGATAATTGCAAACTACAATCTAAACCATAGTTCTTTATTGAATACACACTGCCTCTATGCTGATAGAAACGTGTTTCTGCTAACTCAGGGAAAACACTATTAATTCTCACTCATCAATTGCAATTTTCATACCCAATCAAACATCCTGCAATTGAACAGAAGTATGTATATGGGAGACAAGCAACTCTCTTCTCCTATTAAACTCCCCATCCATATTCTTTCCTCCCACTTTCCTATCTAACAGTATTCAATTTCTGTTATGATATTATGAATAATATATTAAACTTAGTAGACAATGGCCTCTGTTGTTGTTCCATCCAGATGTCTGAACCTTACTTCATTTTTGTTACCAAGATTCCTTTTAGTTTTCTCATTAAACCATCCATTTTTACCTTTGTCTCTGCATACTTTCTTTACATCCTTCCACCATGTAAATGATTTTCTATTATTTTGAGTAACATTCTAATGTATTAAACTGAAGTCAATATGCTAACAAGTAATCGTGTAATTTAAAAAAAAAAACAGAAATAAATCAATAACGAAAAGGGTTCGAAAGAACAAAGAAATAGGACGAAAAGAGAAACGTAGAAATAAAAAATGAAAGAAACATAGAAATAAAAAACAAAGGATAAATGTAACATCCCAAAATTATACAGTCAGCAACTATATAATAGAATATTAACATGTATTAATATTATATAGCAGTTTTACAATTAAAGAGAGCAGTGTGCAAAAAAAAAATGGCCGAACGGCCTTACATATACACACAAAAATAACGAGCGTTCACAAAAGAATTAGAACGAACGGTTTACAAAATATTGACCGAACGTTCAACTATTTACAATCCCCAGAAGAGCGCTCGCTCACAGCCGCTCGCTATCCTAATATACTAACTAAAAACCGAACGCGCTACGGTTCGGCCTTCACTTCAACCTCAACTAAATTTTCTTCAGCAGGGATCCCATCTTCCAGTGTTTGCTCCAGAGACACATCTCCCTCTGCTCACATCCACACGGATGATCATTGCAAGGACATGACGGATACACATATACAGACAACACAATGGAAAGTGCAAGGGTAAGCTTATTGAATTTAATTTAAGTAAAACATATATTTCATACTTATCAAATACAGCAAGTAAATTCACAAACATGTACATTCAATTCATACAATAATTCCATCCAAA